ACGAAGTATTCACTATTTGTTTCACCCGCCATTTGATAAACCAGCACTGCCAATTGAAACGTCCTTGCTCAAGGCCATCAGTTTATCAAAGAATTCCGTCTTCATCGAATACTCTTCAATCTCCATTTAAATTATTACAAGAAAACGACGATCTTCAAAGATTTATGCTTTTATCAAAGAAATTATTTATACAAATTCTGAAATCCTAATAATTGAGGAATTATAGAAATGATTTGTGAGGAGTTCGAATCTTATCTCATCTAGAATCTACTAGGGATTCTTGGGAATATCTTCAATTGCTTTTTCTCCCCTGACTGGTTAAAGGGGGAAAGGGAGGCGCCACATGGACTATCTTTCGCCTGCTGAGTCTGTGTAGTTGTGTAGTTCCTCTGTCGTTTCGAAGGCCTGGCTGTCATATTTTCTGATTTTCACATCGTCGTTCTGCATAACTCGCCCAAAAAATGGTTTGATCCTCGCCACCGTTCAAGTGTCGACTCAAAAGATTGTCGCGTCGTTCGATCGTCGTGTGCGGCTCGTTGTAACGTCTGATCGATCGGGCGTTCGTCGTCAGTGCGGCGGAGGGAACCTGGCCCGGACACATCGTCGCGAAGTCGTGGCCGACGGCGGCGATGCACGAGGTGTTCTACCATCGGTGAGGATGCGAGGCTCTAGCCGAGTCGCGTCTGCTCCCGTGCCAGCCTAGCGAAGGACCCGGCGACGATGCGAGATAACTCTAAAGAGATGTTCATCATCAGAGGTTTGGAAAAGATCCTGGCCGACCGGGACGTGAAACGGTCGCACCTGTCCCAACTTCGTAAATCCTGCGAGACAGCACTCGGTAATTTACGCTCGATTAGGCGAAATTCATTTAAGAAGTGAATGAGTGAACTTTAATTAAGAAGGCTGTCAAAGGTCCGACGGTAGCTAATTGGTAGCTTGACAATTGCACCATCCCTCGTGTCTGAGGGATGCCAGATAAATAAACATATATACAAATGTCTGCAGACGTCTCTGAAAAGATTGACGATTATTTAATTTAGTATATATATATATGTATATATCGTTGCGATTGTAAAATGAGGGATTATAGGATCGAGGGTGTTAAAAATTGAATGGCAGAATTGCATCGCTTGGTCTTCGCAGTAAAATTGGATTAATTCACTAATACAT